TTGCACTTGGCAAGCACCAGATTCGGGGAAGGGTCTCAAGAGAACTCTGGGGACAGGGCGTCCAGGCTGCACGGGGGCTCCCTATGCAGAGGTCAGGGACTTCGGTTTCAGCTGCTATAGGTACAAAACCTGGAAGTCACCACTCCTACCTTTAAATAAGGAAAACTCTGAACAAACTGAAGATCAATGATTTTTCTTAGCCCTCTCAGGGAATTGAGGTCACACGGCAAACCACTGCTCCCAAATTTGGAGAGTCACAGCCGAGATGTGCTAAATGGAGAAGAAGACTCTGGAACCGTAAACTGGTTAGGAACACTTTGGTAATTTTGACACATTGCCAGAGGCTGAGTGAGGACAAGCCTGAGCCAAACTACCGAGGACCACGGGCTAAGGGACCCACTCCTTCCTGGGTTTTAACCCAAGGAAACTCATGAGGTTCTCATGGCGAAGAGCCGAGAAGGAACTCCCAGTGGCTCTGGCAAGGAAAAGGGGAAGTAATTATGTGAAATGTGTCCAGAGTTTTCCACAGCAAGAACTTACTCTCCCAGGAAAATGATCTTACTAGAGCTTTACCTGGGGGAAAGGCACATCCCCTACACCAGCCCATCCAGCTTCCTCACTCCGCTGAACGGGAGAACCTAGCGAATACTGGTGAAGGTCACATTGTAGGGACACCAGCCAGGACAAGACTGGGGTTTCTGTCCGTATGGTGGAGGCATGATCACGGACATTTAGTTTATACTCTGGGTTATGATCCAACGCTACTTTTTTTTTCTTTTTTGCTCAAATCAATTCAGTTTTTGTGTTCCTTTGGCATACTGGTGCTATTGTTTGTTTGTTTGTTTGTTTGTTTGTTTGTTTGAAGTTCTTCCGTATGTTCTGCCACTGGCAGTTCCTCTGGGTTTATCTTGTACATTTTCTGCTCCAGTCCTAGAATCGGCCACTTCTCCAAGGATCCCTGGCTCCTTTTATTAGTTAATGGAATTACAAACCAATATGTGAGTCCCAGGTGCGCTCAGAGTTGCTGGAATGTCCTTGCTTCTAGGACCTCTCAGCCAACAGAACAAGGAAATACATATTTATTTAATAACGCACATCCACTCGCATATCAATAAATATTTGTATATGTTACCATATGTTACCATCTGTATCAAAGCCCCTTCTCCACCTCTGATCCATCTCCACATGGGTCATTCTACCTTTCCCTTGCTTATCTATAACCTCCCTCTCTAACCCTGGCTCCCATTTCTGCCAGTCGTGTACTTAATTCTTCAATTTTGGCTATTTGTATATAGTAAGACCTGAACTGCTAAGTTTATGTTACTGAAGAAATACGTCATCCACTAGAGTGTGGTGCTTTGATACAGTTTCTTT